ACGCAGCCTTAGGCCGGAATCAGACTACGCATTGAAGATTGAGATTGAAGATTGAAGATTAAAATTTGACCAGTGAGGACAAAGAAATTTTAGCTCCTACTGTTTTGATTGATCAAATTTCAATCTTTCAATCTTCAATCTCAATATTCAATGGGTGTATTCAGTAACTACAACCGCTCAGTGAGCGCTCAATGAGCGCTTGCATCTTATTGGCATATTCCGTTAGAACTAAAAATATAGACCAAACAGAGACAAGCACTCACTGAACGCTCAGTGAGCGGTTGTAGTACTGAATGCACCTAATGCGTAGTCTGATTCCGGCCTAAGGCACCTTACGGGTGTGGTCCACTTGACGCTACAAATCTTCGAAACTTTTGATTAACCAATCGGAAGCGTGGTGGAAAGGATTGACATGTTACGCTCAGTTTAGGCAAACCATGCCCTTTTGCGACTTTGGGCGCTATTTCATTTGTGCGTTTTTATCGTACGACAAATGTGTACAGAACAAAGAGGTCCTCGGATCTCTCTATCTCATAGCCAATCAACAGGCTTGAAAAATTTATCGTACGACAAAAACGCATAAATGAAATATCACCCTTTGGCTGTATTGGCCACTATTTACTGCCAGTACCTAAAATCTATAGTTTACATCATATGCTTTATAGATTTTCAGTACTAGCAGTAAACTTGATGCGGGGTCTACAATAAAAATCGTAGCGGTCGTAGGGTCTTAAGTCATAGAAAATTGACCAATCACAGTTGATTATTCTTCTCATATTCGACTGTGATTTGTCAATTTTCTACTACTTAAGACCCTACGACTGCTACAACTTCTATTGTAGACCCCGCATAATTTCGGCCTTACCAACTCCGATTAAACTAATTGGCCGATTAAATATTGCCAACTACAAGACTTGAAAACATCCTTTTTCTGGCGGGACGCCGAGTACTCACGTGCTTGACTCGCATGGCTTTTTCGCATTTGAGAAATTTGCCATTAATATGGATTGCCATTAATAACCTGTGCTATTATTATGACATCGTTCTTCAAAATTGCCAGAAAATTAGGTTATGTTTTCAGTCTTGTAATTTGCAATACTGAAATTTAATCGATCGATTAGCTTAATTGGAGTTGGTGAGACCGGGCTATAACGCCTATTCAACGCCAGGAATTCCATTTTAAAATTCACGTTGCATCTGGGGCTCTATTCTTGAAAAGAAACGTATACGAAAAACTAGGAAAATACTATAGTATACGTAACGTATACTGTAGTATTTCCCTAGACTTTCGTATACGTTTCTTTTCAAAAATAAGACTCCCTGGCATTCGCTCCCGATATCCAATAAGAAGCTCTGCTTTTTAGGGATGTTTCTGTCTCTAATGATCTCTAATCGAGAATCCCAGAAAGCGCGCTCTCCTATTGGACCATCGTCAACCGCCGTGACGTATCACAGTGCGTTAAACGGATCAGGGCACCTATCATGGAAAAAATCGGAATAGATTCCAATCGGAATTATTCAATTATTCCCTAGATTTCTATTGTGTTTTCTAGGGAAAACGGAATTATTCCGATATGTTCCATAATAAGTACCCAGGCGTAACATGGCGGCATGTCGGTCGCTCAGCGTTGTTCGCGGTATAGTGCGATCAGTGCGGTATCGCTCGTCGTATTCACGCTCGTAGGAGATTGTGAGTCGCGTTCGCGGGTGTCTCGTGCACGACGGTCCGCATCGCTCGTGAAACGACGCGACGCCGACGAGACAAGCGGACGTCTCGAAACGCGTCGCGTCGCCTCATCGCCCCCGTCATTGCGAGTCGCAACTGGTCATCGCAGTCGGTTATATTTTAATTATTCCGTTGCTCGCTTTGCGGCTCGTCATGCCTAGGACGACCCGCGCGTTGTCCCACCGCG